TCGAGCCCTTAAGCTTAATTGGGTAATTACTTATTATCGCCTTTCGCTTTGTTCGACGGCGAAAACAAATATTTGCTTTATCCGGACACTTCGTAATGATAATAAAACTTTATTTACCCTAGCCGACAGTTATTAAAAACTCTATTTGATCTCTGCGGTTTTAATTCGATCTGTCAGTATTGCCGCTAAAAGGTTCCTTTCGGTGTGTTATTTCAGCTTAGTTCATAATGGCGCCTATTGAATTCTTACAATGCCGTTATTTCACGTAATATCAAAGCGGTCGTATTACTAACGACGTAGGACTTGTTTTGAACTTATTTCCAGAATGCCAACTTAACTTTTATTTCCTCGATTTTGTACTTTTTCATTTTCATTGCTCAATTGAGTCAAACTTTAAATTGTGGAGGACAACGAATTTTCACATTGTTTATGGATATTTGCAACCACCTAGCGGCCCATGTTGGCTACATTAAAACATGCAAACCTGATAAATAATCGATGCGATGCCATATCGTAATTGACGCATATTGAGTGTCCCATTAGAAAATCTGGAGAATTTTTTCTTGCAAATTTGGCATGACATCATCTTATCTTTTTTAAGTATTTGCGCTTCTGCAGTGTTTTCCGTTTTATCGCAAAATTCTGAGTAACTTTTGTGAAAGTTCCCTATCCTAAAAATAATTTAAAAAAAAAATCTTATCACTTAAATATTTTTTTCTACTAAGGTCTATAAAATGCCTAATTACGCACCGATCTAGTGTGCAGTTAGCGTCATTTTAGCACGTCAGTTTCGTTTCCCACTGTCCGAGCCATTTCGGAAATTTCCGGGAATTTACCGCACGGGTTTGGGAGCAATCGGATGTTTTCGGAGATATTTTCCACGCCTTGAATTTTGAGGTTTTTCAATTCTGACCGTCATGGTATTGAATGTATTGGAGTTGTTTTGCGAAAATGTACCCAAAAACTAACGGCCTTAGAAAAAGTATAGTATGCAACACGTTTGGTAAACTTTTTAACTCACTCGTTTATTAAATACACGCTCCGCTCGTGTCAAATATAGTCGTGACTCAAATGCCGTTTACCGCACTTGTTGCATAATATACTATTTTAAGCATTCCTAAAGTGACGTTTTCCAACCTAATATTATGCCTATAACAACCAAGACATTTTCGCGATAATGCCCACAGGCTTGTGAGCAATCGTATGTTTTCGGAGTTATGTCACTGGTCACTCAGTGACTGTGTTGGTGTTGATTTGCAAAAATTTAGCCAAGAAATAATGGCCGTAGAAAAAGTATAGTACGCAACTCACTCGTATATTTGTGACTAGTAATTTAGTGAAAGTCGATTCTGAATTGCTTTCCATAGTAGCAAAATAAATATTTTATATATATATATATATATATATATATATATATATATATATATATATATATATATATATATATATATATATATATATATATAGATATTTTGACATATTGTGGTTTAAGTTTAAATACGACAATTTTAAAATGTAGTTTGAAAAATACAAATTACCTGATAATAAAAGTCTCTCCAATAATATTGTCCAAGCAGCCACAAAAGCAAGGTTTGACTTATACCACAAATTTTTTAAAAATTGGTACTTGCAAAGTAAGCTAAGAAATAATGAATATTTGTCGGTTTTGAATAGAATAACATTATATCGCCAAATAAAGGCTCTGTCCAGCCCTTTTAGACACAGTTCATTCAGGTCGTATGATAAGCCGTCACTGGAGTCAATATATCACTTAAAATCTGGGCGATCCCAATTAAATATCATTTTTGACAAAATATTATAAATTTAATATACCGGACAAGTCTGTACAACTGTAAAGGTAGTGTTGATATTTACAAGCAAACTGTAAATGACTTTAAAGAAGAAGTGGGTCGAAACTATTTTTATCTTGTGGTTGATGAAACAGCTGACTGACTGAGTGCAAACGCAATGATTGGAGTCCTAATTGTATCCAAACAATGGAAAAAAAAACAAGAATCTGGTTCAGTTCAAGAAATATTTCCCAACGGTGTTCCGAAAAAAAATTCATACTCCTTTTACCGGATGCTGCAGCAGAATGTATAAGAGACCAATTTCCATTTGGAAATGATTTAATTAATTAAGAAAAAAAGTATTTCTAAAAGCACCTTCACGTGTTCAATTTTAAAAAGTAAAATTGTCCAAGCAATCAATTACCACCTTTTTTATAACCTAACAGTGAAAGAAAAGTTAAAATTTATGAAAGCAAAATATCTTATTATAATTATAGCACTCAGGAGCGAAATTGGAGGCTACCTTTTTCAGGTTCACTGGCTTTAATAAATTAATTTGACGTAGATTGAAAAAAAATTTCTGGTACGGTTATGGTCGCGGTTATAAAAAAAATGGTCAATAATTGGAAATAACACAAATTTCAAAATCCTAGAAAATATTTCAAAATTTTTTATAGGCAACTTCACTAATTTTGAAGAGAACTCGATTTGTGTAAATTGGGAACACATTTAATTCCAAAAGTAAAATACATTTTTACATTTTGAAACATTGTTTACAGATAAAAGACACAATTCCCTTTTGGGAAATTTCGAAAAACATTTTTTTTTTATTTATAAATTTATAACAACACGAAATGATTTGTAAATTTACGAATTTTATATTTTCCAAGTTGCTATTAATTTTATTATAAATAATGCAAATAATATTTTGTCACGGAAAGATTGTTTTGTTTTAGATTTATATGTTTTGCAATTTGCTATATAGGTATCAATGTATATATCTACGGATAAAAAACATTTGTGACGATTTTTTTCGTTTTTTTTTATATTTATTCAAATAGGTGTGTGGTATAGATAAAAAATTATATGAATTCTAATTTTAAATAAATAATTCTGGTTTTATTTCAAATAAAATTAATGTTTATGCATTTAAATATTGGAGTTTTCCCTTGCATTTGTTCCGGCCGTTAGTGCTAAACATTAGTGAAGACGTTTTATTGACATAATCATAAGAAAAATCATAAAGCTAAAATCATCATCATTGCGGAATAATGCTCGAGGCATCGCTACGTACCACGAAGAATATCGACATAAGCGAATATTTTCAATTAACAGCATTTATGAAACTATGGGTTTTGGTTAACATTCCAAACTAACCAAAACAAATAATTCAAAATCATTCATAATTAACGGAGAAAAAGATCTAAAGATCTAACCAAAGGGCATTGTTGTCGTCGTAGTTCAACCTCATTGCTATCTAATGGTGGTTCTAGTTCATCTCAAGTTGCTGAAGACTACATTGAGGGTTCTGTTGAGAATAATATTGGTATAGCTGTATCACAAACTCATTATAATTTTGAAATACTTTGGTGCCATGTGGGTGTGGATTAATGAATGTTATAGTGTAGAAAAAATTTACCAACATTAAAATGTAACTAGTGGAATGAAAGGTTTGGTGTAAGGTGTAATTAAGGTGTAGTTATGTATATGATTATTAAGATAATTTGATGACGAAAGAACTATTATATATAATAAATTTACGCATACATCTTTTTATGGAATACGCCGTTTAAGATATAGAAAATATAGCGCAACACCACCCAAGTGAAAGGATTTGTATAAAAACATAATAATATATTCCAAACGAAAGACCTGATGTTACTATATTCGATGATACTTTTGAGGAAGTGACACCAGAGAAGTGACGAAAAGCAGTTTAATGTGTCACATGCGAAGAGGGGACAAAAAATCTTAATCTGATCGAACGTTTGCCATAGCCCCTTTAATTATAAGGTATAAGATAAGATGATTTCTACAATTTAATTTCTGTATAATATACGATGACCCTAAATACACACAATAATTACCTAAATAAGTACAATTTTATTCAAAATCTAATACTGCTTCACTCTCCAAAATTATCTAAATATATTCGTTAATTTTGAACACCCTGTAGAATTTCATTCAAATTCCGTAGCATATGTCTTTTATTTATTTTTTGCAAATTTGAAAACTTCTATTTTTTTGGAAAAATGAAAGTATTTGGAAAACTATTAGGTTTAGATATGAATTTTTAATAATAAAGAAGTTAGAAAATTTCAAAACGAATTCCAGACAAAATTTAAAAATAAAGTGCGACACTCAAAAAAATGTATATTTTATTCGTGACACTTTTTTGAGCCACCCGGTATACTTATGATTATATATTGCTAAGGGCTAAGCTTCTCATATTGGTGAAAGGGAACCTGAATCGCGGTTAAGATTGTTTGGTTGTTTATAAATTTCTATAGATTGTCGGATTTTTCGTTGGTAGAATTGATTGATTCGTTGGTAGAATTGATTACATGCAATAATTTTTGTGTTCGGCAACTACCGATGAGTTTCTTTTAGGTAGTCTTAATACTCGTTCATGTTCTTTGAATCTAGTTGATATTTCTCGTCCTGTCTCTCCAGTGTATTCTTTGCCGCATATGCATTTAATGCTCTAAACTACTGTTACCTCAAATGGAATTTTGTCCTTGACCGTTCGAATATGTTGAGAGGTTTTCTGGCAAAGAATACATTGGACAGACAGGACGAAAAAGATCAACTAAACTCAAAGAACGTGAAAGACCCCGTAAACTACGACAAATAAACCCGTCAGCAGTTGCCGAACAAAATCATGAAAATGTGCATCAAATCTTATTTGATAAAACTAAAATTCTTGCATGCAATCTATTCTTCTTTCAACGAAAAATCCTAGAAATCCATAAGCCACCAAACAAACTTAACCGCGACTCAGGTCTTTTCCTTTTGACCAATGTGGGAATCAGTTATCCGAAACAACGTTCATGCACCTCCTTAACTCCTACACCATCAAACAGTGTATAAGCAGATACAGAGTAGAATGCGAGCCAAATTTAGTTAAGCCCCGAAGAAAATGCAGGAGGAATTTAGAAGATTTGGAAATAATATAACTTTAAAATCGATCAAATCAATTGTTTTTCGCAGATGAATTCTCGCGACGAACCCGAGAAGAGCGTGAAAGTCTCACTGCCCGATCAAGTGACCGCCACGGTGTACCTGAGGGAATCGATGTCTGTGGAGGAGTTCTTGGCTAGTGCGTGCGCGCGAAAGAACCTCAATTCCGCGGAGCATTTCATCCGCGTGAAGAAACGTCGCGAAATGGAAGACCATAACTACTTTGTGCCACATCGAAGCGACTTAATCGAGACTTACGTAACCACTCCACCCATTTACCCGTTTCTCCTCGTGACTTACCGCCATTAATTTATTTCAGTTACACACCCACGAAGTAGTGGAAGTATGTGCCAAAATACTGTACCAAGTGGAGCTGTCGCGCAGTACTCTGGAGCAGATGTGGGGCTTTAGCGTCGAAGCGGAACTCGTGGAGAATGCTGACAGACAAGACGAGCTCTGTTGTTACGTCAGCAGAGTAGAGGACAAGAGCGTCGCCATGCAGAACGGTGAGATTATTTTTTCTTTTGAGGGCATCGAGGAGAAATTTTGCCCAAGACCTCCCTTACCAAAATATACTTCACTTATTACAAGCACTCGTTAACATTAACAAAAGAATCGTAAACGACAAAAAGAAAATGCTGTAAATTATTTTTGAAATTAGGAAATGACCGCTAGAGGGCGCAACTGCCAGTTTGCATTTTTAAACCTGTTTTCTGCAAAATTTTCTAATATTAATGATACTTACAGTGAACACTCTTTTGAAGCTAGAGCAAGTTCAACTCTTTTTGTTAGTTGCTTTCACTCTATCTCTAAAAGGAAGTGTTGAGGAGCGCCTCATCAGTTCCCGAAATAAATATGATAACTCAAAAATGTCTTACCAATAGTATGGCGTTCTGTGACAAATCTTTACAACTTTTGTATTTACCATATCCAGCAATGGGCGTCGCTTGCATCCTGCTCTACTTGAGCATTCTTTCCAAGACAGCACTCACTACAGGCTCCTTAATCTTTCTCTGCAGGAATAATTAAGGGAGATGAGATTATGGTGATCAACGGCGCTATCGTTTCCGACCTCGACATGATGTACTTAGAAAGCGTTCTCCAAGAGGAGCTCTCGTTGTGTATGATGATGAGATCGTCGCGTACGGAACCTCCCGACCTCGCAGGAATATTGAGGGCGACGGATGATATCATAGATAGTTTGGTGTGTCCACCGCCTCCTTCGGAACCGCCAGCAATAAGCGAAGAAATGATCTCAGGACTCATCGTACCTGCCCCAGGTTGGAGTGAGTAATACTTTGGGAACGGGCGTCTTATATATAGAAATAGAAAAATTATATCTTAGTGGAACTTTTTCCCACCATTTGAAAGATTGTTTGAGTTGAAGTTGAGTTGGAGTGTTAAATGCCGATAACAGTGTGTTTGTTGAAGATATAATCTACCAAATGTCGACTTTCAGGTAAAGATAGGTATTCTACCGAATCGGAAAATCCATCTTCGTCCCTGACCGACTCAAGTATGAAAGTGTCATCGAGGACTAACTCGTTCGAGATAGAAAATCTATTAAAAACAGCGGAACAGGTAAGTTATCCCTCAGCAATATATTGAGTAATTTCATAACAATTTGTATATGTAGATTTTTTTTAACCATATTGCCTTGTTGATATTCTGCGCTGCAGAAAACTATATTTGTATATATCTATGCATTATGGAGTCAAATATTTTGGCAGGAAAAAAATAGCTTCAAAGGTAAAACAAAGAATACCATCAGCATCTAGTGCCTTATTGCGCTTGAGCATTACAGACATCCTTAAAAATAATCGGTCAACAGAAACAGTGGCTATTGATTTACGATTAGTCAACTCAACATCACTTGGGATAGCAATTGTCTGTGTATCCAGCAACATTTTCAGTCTATTAATAGTTTTTATTTCTACCATTGGTGTCTGTTCGTGGTTTACTCACATCTTTATGAAGGAAAAACTGGTACTCCACTCAAACTTTTTCACATGAATATTTCCATTCGACGGCCTAGTCAACTCTGCATAAAAGCCACTCCTTCCATTTTTCTTTGTCACATGGATGGTGCTTGATTAATGTTATTTAATAAAAAGTATCACATTATTGCCAAATCGTTCTTAATACTGGTCTCGTTGAATGTTATTTATCGGATAAATATTATTTCATATTTCTGCATTTTTCCTTTTTTTTATGAATCTGTTATTTTCCTCGGAAGTATTTATTAGTTTATTTATATTGGATTGATCTTCTACATGAAATAAATTTCATGAGGTTACTCACTTGACAAAGCGCAGTCTTCATCTTTTTTCTTTAGTCTTTTTGGATATTCTACCGCTAACACTTTGTTTTAATTTTCGGGAGTAGATAACCAAAGGGGGTTCCACAACCCATAATCTTATAAATTTACAGTCGTCCCCTTAAATAGCATAATATTTACACAGTCCTTTTGGTTTCAGGTGACCGGTTTTTGCCGTTCGCCGATCGAGGTCCGTAAACAATCAAGCCCGACGGGCAGCGTAGTCAGTAATACGTCACAGGCAATACACACTCCTTCTAGGCAGCTATCGGATGCCGAAAAACTCAGGAAAGTTGTACTGGAATTGATCGATACAGAACGAACTTACGTTAAGGTACCGGCGAGCCTCTATTATTACTCTCATTATGCGCGACTTTCTATCGTTACAGCATTTGAACAATCTTCTGGAGAACTATTTGGAACCGCTGAAAAAGGAAACCTTCCTGTCGAACGCGGAAATCAACGCGTTGTTTGGAAACATCCAAGAAATTGTTACATTCCAGCGACAATTCCTCCAGAACCTCGAAGAAGCTTTAGATTTGGAACCCGAGTTTTATAAATTCGAACACAGTAGTCAGTTTAAGGTCAGTACAGGTATTCATTGTTATTTTATGTTGATAGCTGTTTACTTATAAACATGCCCTTGAAAATTTGTAATGAATTTTGAAACACCTTTAATAAATTCGATTATAAAATCGAAATGGAACGACAATATAGTACTGTCACAGATAAATGGTTTAGACTTATTGAATGCCGGTCCTATCTTATAGACCAGCTTGGCAATAAACATGCTGTAAGTGGGCAATGTAAAAAATATCATTATAATCAAGTTTAAAAATTGATTTAAGGTGGATTTTACTTGAAAATCCATTTAACACAATTAATGGTTTATGACAGCTCTTTCAGCAACACAGCCCCTCTGTCAAATATAACAAATATTTCAATAGTCCCACGTCTATGTATATAGACTGGTAGAAATAGATTCTTAATTACCATTATTATAGGGTTCTTTGTGCATTATGTTAAATATGAAAATTATAGTCAAACTTGTGCAGTTCTGAATTTAAAAGAATGGCATACTTTGAATCCGATGTTTTATGCGTTTCTTAATTGTTTTTGTTTATTCTATATAAATTTTGGAACCTGGTTCACATTTTAATTTGTAGACTCCAGATTTTTGAGTTTCCGTGCAAAAGTTTTATTGTTTGTTGTTTGAAAATTAGAGTTATTGGCAACTGCTAGTCAGTTATAATTTTATTTATCAAATAGTGGACGTAACCATTGTTAAAAGCTATTCGTTTTATAACTTTTAATTCAAAATATTCTGTGAACAGTATATTAAGTAGTCTGCGGAGAAAAAAATCAATGGCAGCCATTTTGTAATTGTGAGAGTGATTAGAGTTATTACATATTACCGTGTCCATGTGTGAGGGCTTATGGTGAATGTAGAAACCTAATCTGTTTTGTAATTCAGTTATAGTTAAATATAGAATGCTGTCTATGGTAAGTTTTATACTGTGCTGTATAAAGGTGTCTTTTTATTCTAATGAAACAATCCAAAAGCATTACGCACTTACTATACCACCAAAGAAAAGTTCTACTCAGAAGATGTTCACGTATATTGAATCCTATGGAAATATAATATTGGCTACAAAATTCTTAATATTTTCGGCCTGAACACACTATTAAACTACCTAACAAACTATAACTAATAAACATTAAACTATCTAACAAATATTATGGTAGGGTTAATTTGTTACTGAGCAAGAATATTATATATAAAGTTTATTAGATGGATCGGTGGAAATACTAGGAAATAGCTTTTTGGTGAGCTTTCAACTAAAGAAAAGAAACTGCATTAGGAGGAGTTTTAATGCCTTTAAAACTGAGAACGTCAAAGACAATTTTTAAAAAACAATTAAGCTAAATCACAAAAAACTCGAAAATCCGGAGTCTATAAGTTAAGATGTGGATGATGTCCCAGAGTGTATATCAGAAAAACAGTAAATATATTTAAGAAACGCACTAACGAACATAAAGGAGCGTATAAAAATCAAAGTTCGAATTTTAAGTATAATTAATAAAGATAAATCAATAAAATGAGTTATTCGAATTGGATTTGAGGGGTCTCTGTTTTTAAAAGTATATTTATAACCCTACAAAAATGGTAATCAAGAATCTAATTGTACCCGTTTATATATATAGCCTGCGAAATATTGTAATATGTAATGTTTCAATGTAATATAATAATGTATAAAGCTAATACAATATTGCTTGTGCTACTTGCTTCTTCTTCTTCTCAAGGTGAATTTAGAGTGTTGACATCTTCGGCAAAATAATTATCATCTTGCGCTACTCTTAAAAGTTACTGCGAATTTAGACCGGTTCACTCTTTAACATTAACTATACTGTTTGCTATCAGTCCCTCATTCAAGTCGTTTATTGTATTGCATTTTACTATTTTTGTTATTGTATTTTGTGCCTCTGTATATGTTTCCCGAATAATTGGTCTTGCATCTATTGATGATTCCTAAAAATTCTCCATCCCAGTTCATTCTTCTTCTGCTGTACCTTTTGAAATGTCACACCAAACAGTTGGCCACGTACATTCAGAGTTTATAATTATATTTGGTGTATTTTGATTGAAACGAGCGAATCCTTGGGAATCTGGTCTGACTGACAGCTTGTCTTACTTAGGCTCCCGTGTCTTCAAGTCCTGTAGAATTGACTCTCCAGATTTCCACCCCGAAAATGCTGCTGTTATCTGGCTCTCGGCTACATGACCCCCGGATCGCCTATATAAAATCGGCTCGTTCTGTGAAGCCCCGGCTCCACCCCCTCTCTTAAAGAGCCAGTCAGTCACCTTTGCGTAGTTTGCAAATACAAATGATCGTGTGTATATTCACAGAACTATATGTTACGTTCAATACTATTGTTGGGCGTGGTTTCTTATTCTATGAAATGCTCTTCTGCCAGCTTCTACAAGGCTAAGTATTTCGGTCTCTGTGCTGACAAGTAGACAAATATCTGAATTTGTCCAACTTGTTTTAATTCTTTTGTTATTGATAATTATATTAGCATTCACATTTGAATTCTTAGAAATGACTATCGAATTTGTTTTTTATAGTGTGTTTATCTTACGGCCAAACGTATCCTCCATTTATACTATGGCAATAATAATATTCTACAATCCTTGCTGTCTAGCTTTAACATGTTGTAGTCTGCACACGTTATATTGTTCACGAATCTTCCGTTTACTTGTATGATTTCTTATATGTTTTGTAAAACTTTATAATAGATTTGATTACAGTACAACTTCCTATTAGGTTAGTCATTTCTGTACGCCCTTTTATGATCTATAAAGCATAGGTCCAAGCAAACCAATTATATATTCGCTTTTGTATGATTCTTAGTGATCTTCGGTATAGAGCTCATCAAACTGATCATTCTATGCGCATTGCACACCGGTAAACTTATACATTATAACAATTAACAATTTGATTGAAAGTATAGGAATTTTACTATTGGAATAACCTAATATTCCACCTTTCCGAAAATGTAGTTTACTTAATATTTCATGCATAGATTTTTGGCCACTTCTATCAAACAGATTATTATTAGTGAGGTTGTCGCATTCTAAAGAAAATGTCTTCATCAAGTTGTTTGCTTTCAGTATATTGGTCATAATACAAGTTTCTGGTTGCTTCTTCATTCTTTCATGAAACAAACTATAGTATCCCATTTATTAGACAACTAACCAAAGCTAGCAGTGCCCAGTTGTTTTCTATATTTGCCTGATTTTTCAAAACTCAGGCTATATTTTTGGACGGATAATTTTAATAACTCTTTAATTATTTTTTACTTTGATTTTCAATTATCCAGGATATTCAACAAATTTAAAACTAAACGAAAAGTTGATACTTCAAACGATGACGACTATGGTTCAGAAGATCATTTCCCTCTTTCAATAATAAAGTACATTCTAGTGAATTCACAGGATATAAAACTGAATGAAAAAAAATAAGGGACATATGATTGTAGATGGACATAAATAATGCTGCAAGAATGAAAAATGTTAAATATCTCGCTGCATCAGCAGGCATTGTAACTGTTAAAAATGGTTTCATATGAAATTATAGTTAAGTGACAAATAAAGATGGCTATTCAAATATATTTCTGAATTTGCGCCCAGTGTTGGGTGTACTTAACGCAAGAAGTATGAATTAAAAAAGAACATTTTATTCACATCTTCATAGCATGCAGGAGAAAATGAATGTACTTGTTTGGTATTCTTCATTGCTGATTGTCGTTTTTCCACGTTAAGATTAATTCACTTTATGGATAGTGCTGATGACTCTTGAAAAACGAAAACTATCAAAAATTTCTTCACAGAAGCATATTCCATATCTCTTTGCAAATTCGAAATTTGCAAAATATAGTACCATAAACTTATTATCAATATGATAAGTCCATCAGAAAAATTAATCAATTCATAGTCCTAAATTTCTCGACATCTGAAAAATTAAGAAAAAATCACTATTTGACAACAGAACTAATACAAGTATTAATACTTCCCACTTCCTTTGAGTAAGAAAAATACTCAATATAAAAGGACTCATTTGTACATACTTACTATTTTTTCGGATAATCATTTAAGCCCTGGTAATCCAAACTGCAGTTATTAAGTTTTAACCATTTATCTGCGCTAACACAATATTTATTTGAACGTCATTTTCTTTGCAGAACGTCTTATTTTCAATCGGCAGTGCCTTCTTGTACTACGTAAATCATTTCAAATTATACAGCTCGTTTTGCGCTAGCCACAGCAAAGCACAGAAAGTGCTACACCCGAGTAAGTAGTTGCAAAAAAATAAGGCACCCCCTCGAAAATACTATGTTGTCGTTAATTAAAACGTCTTTAGATGAAGGAAACCAGGCGCTCCAGGAATTTCTGGCTGCCAGGAATCCGAAGCAGCAACATTCGTCTACCCTAGAATCATATCTTATTAAACCGATACAGCGAATATTAAAGTATCCTTTGTTGCTCCAACAGTTGAGGAATTTAACCGATTCGAGTACCGACGAGCATCAGCATTTAGTGGGTACGTGAATATAATTTTCTATTAGGGGGGGTTCGCTTATAACGGCGGTTTCCCGGTTCTCCCCTAATTAAAGGGAATTAGTATTAAACATTATAATATCGTCTATCGGATCAGAAACTTGAAGGGGTTTTGCTCTAAATTCGCGTCTCCTGCCAATATTTGTTATTATCATTATCTTTTACCTCAATTTTTTTATTAATTTTCAAATTTAACACTCTAGCGACCAGCGATAATATTTAATTTTTCTTTATTTTGGACCACGATAATTTTTTAAAATTTTGGCTAAAAAAGCGTATACATATATTATAATTAGTTTCAAGGGAGTGGATGAGTTATAAATGTATAAGCGGCTGATGAAAAAAACATATATTTTAATTTATCTTTAGTTTATATATTGGGTCAGGTTTTATTTAAAAGAATCACATTGAATATTGCGAATCTATTTCTTCGGTATTCTTCATTACTGAGTGTCGCACTTCCACGTTATGCTTCATCGACTTTTAAACAACGTGAATTATCACAATTTTCTCCATCTCATTCCATATCTCCATGCGGACTCGAAATTAAATTAAATATCCGGACATCACTTTCCTGTTAAGTTTTCGACAGATTATCAATAGAATAAGTCGATCACAAAAATTAATCAATTCATAGTCCTAAATATCTCGTTTCGTTTGTAACCTGAATGTTTTTTTCAAGGAATGTATTTCTTATGTTTAAGAAAAAATTATATCAGTTTTATTCTCATTTAATATATTTAATTTATTTATTTAATATTCTCAATTAATATAATAATAATAATAATAATAATAAATAAAATTAAATTGAAGTGGGTACCATTTTTATACTCAAGGATAATTATCGCGAACTTTAATTTTAATTTTTAGAGTATGAACTATTTTATTCATTGCAAATTTCACCACACCAACTGGAATTTATTTTTAAGATTTTATAATATTTCTAATAATCATTTTACTCAAATAGGTTTTAAATACACTGTTCGACCATTTTCGGGAATGTTACATTCAAAACGGTCACACACTCTTTGACTAACTACTTTAGGGCACCATGTTTACTATACATTAAGACATAGTCATTTAAGTCGTTTGCTAGTCTGTATCCACTTATTGCTTTTATCTTTACAAGTTACATAGTTACACATAGTTTTACATTTGTTATCAAAATTTAAAATCGTTTGTTAAAAGCAATAACATTTTTTAGTTTCTTTATAAATTTGCATTAAGATATATCACCATCCACGAAATTTTGAACAATATATTTTCACCATCAGAATCTTTAAGAAAGCCATCAAGGGAACATTAGTGACACGAGAACCATATTCTCTTGAAGAATACTTTGGTTAATTTGGTGTGTACGTAATAACACTTATTTGAACAAAGCCTATTATTATTATTAATATTATTATTATTATTAGCTATCTGACTATTTGCAAAAAAATATGGAATAGGTTTTTATGACGTAGTATCTAAAACTTCATCACCAGTTGCTCTAAGTATTAAATTAGTAAATTTTTAAATTATTCTCTCAAACCCTATGGCCCGGAAAAAAATTTCACCAAAATCAACGACCAGTGCCGCTTCAAAACCCTGAAATAGTGTTACCGGGTTGGTTAGCTCAAATATACATTTACTTGCAGAGGCTCTAAAAGGAATGGAAAAAGTAGCCGAGCATATAAACGAAATGCAACGCATCCACGAAGAATACGGCGCTATATTCGACCATTTGTTCCGGCAACATCAAAAATCCTGTAAACAAGTACGTACCAACTATTTTTTTCAGTGCAACCGACATCAGTGTTATGACAACTTATAATTATAATGCTCTATAATGACCACCTAGTCTTTGAGATTGAAGTAACCTCCATGATTGATAGAAAGCCTTTGGAAAGGAAAAGTATCAGTTATACTTAAAACCAACCACCTCTTTCCAGTCAATCGACTTGAGTCCTGGAGATCTCCTGTACTATGGCGGAGTCGAATGGCTCAACATTTCCGACTTTCTGGGTAAAATCAAGAAGGGACTGGAGTTGCATGCGATGTGTTTCGTCTTCAAAACCGCCGTTGTATTCTTGTGCAAGGAGCGGTTGCGACAGAAGAAGAAACTAATGGCAAGACCCTCGGTTCTTGCACGCTTTCGTATTAATCGTGCCGTATTTGTAGGGCGTGGCTAGCAAGGCGTCTTCATCGGAGGTGGAAATTATAAGGTACCAAGTACTCATTCCCGTCACGGAAGTGCAAGTCCGCGCATCCTCGGCTAAAGATATGGATTCGCATTTCCTTTGGGAACTGATTCATTTGAGGAGCCAGCTACAACGAAGGTCCGAAAAAGTCTACGTCTTATCGAATAGGTATGCCAATGCTTAAGAATGAAAGACGACTCATAACCAAAACAAATCATATAGCGACAGCTCGGTACTAAGCAGCAAGAGAACTATTTTATTGCCTTTAAGTTTGTAAGTCTTGCAATATGTTTGCAGACATTAATAAACTTGGAGTGCATATATATATATATATATATATATATATATATATATATATATATATATATATATATATATATATATATATATATATATATATATATATAGAATATTTCGGCTTCAGAGAGACAATTATGTTGACATAATTAGAAATCAACCAATTGCTATTGCCCTTATTGTTTCATGCTCAATCTTATTTTTGTGATTTAGTTTGTGTTTTTCTTTTGTTTTAGTTCTGTTTTATATTTATCTAATTATCGCTCCACCACGGAGTGGGTCCTGGCTGAGTGTACAATTTGTTTTCCAAATGACTCTTTCTTCCATCAACTTATAATTAAAAGGGATCTCATTTTTTATAGGTCTGATTTGCTGTTATTTCTCCAACTTTTTCTGGGACTCGAGTAGTCTTCTATCTGTCGTCGTGCAGGCTTTGTACTGCCTATCTTCATCTATGGAATTTAACCTCTTCGACAACGTACCTCGTACCTCTGCACCTTGGATTTCTGCATTAGTTCTAATGCAATAACGGTTGCTATGGCCTAAAAATCTTTTCCAGGATTTTCCGTTCAAAACGTCTGAGTCTACTTTTATTTGTACATGTTATCGTAAATCTGGCTATGGATTTATATAATTCGATTTTTAAACTCCCATTAGACTTTTCGACATCATTCTGGTTGCAAATAGACAGCGATATACAGACTGGATTCTACCCATAATTTCTTCAGTAACGTCGCTGTCTGCTGTAAGGTATTTGCAGCGCAGCTCTTTTAAAGTTGAAATTGTTGACTGCGACGCCTGGTTGAAAATGCCATTTACTTTTACGACGGAATCTCCTATGAGGTCGGTTTCATCTGATACAAATTTAGTGATCTGGATAACCCTTTTTGCAAAAAGATCTACCAGTGTGATATAAGTTTATCTTTCTTTGAGATCTTCTAATTTCCTGAGTCACTGCTTGGCCTTGGTCATTCTTAAGTGTCAAAATGGATCCGACTGATTTTATTATCAAACAAAATTGCCGAATATGCTCTGAAGTCCGATTTTGTGTGGTCTTGTTGTTTTGCATCGTATTTATTACGCTCGAACTATCTTTTTTTTATTCCTACTTGTTTTCTTGTCTCTTTTCACCAACTCGTATAATTTTCTTTACTTTCTTTCATCTTGTGTTGTAACATTAACTTCTTTGCTTTTTGTCTGGCTTTTAGGAGTTATATCATTCATGGTCATGAATAGTCACCATGTTTTTACCATCTCTACGAAAACGTTCTGATCGGTTTCTGTTAATAATTGTAAAATTCTCTTATCTAACTATCTCTTCCCTTATTCATTGTGCGTTTTATACCCTTTTTTCAAAGTTTTTGTTTAACTACAATTTGTTTGATTAGCACCGCCGAATTCCGGAACGCCTTTTTGAAAACGATCAGGCAGATAATCAGGGAATCGGTCAGGAACATGTCGATACCATCAACGAAACCTGGAACCGGACCGGGAATTCTTCTGGTTACGGGACATAAAGGTGAACACATAAACAGCCAAACCTTGGAGAGGCCCAAACAACACGTGATCATTCAAGGATCCCATACGCTGGGCAAGACGAAAAAGTCACAGAAGTCGCAGAGGCTCTCGGCCGGTAACATTGATTACGACAACGCGATCCAAGATGGAGACGTTAGCGGCGGATTCCGAGGGAGAAGCAAAACTGTAGGAGACGCAGCTGGTAAGTGCTGCGCTATGGTATTTGTAATGTGATAACTTCCCTTATAGCCCTTTAGAAGAATTTCAAAGTTACTTCGTAACATCCCGATAAAATATTTCAGATCCGCAAAAACCTCGACTCGTTAACCATGAAAGAAATGACGCTGGTGCAAAATCCGAAGGAGAAGAAGATTCCCAAGCAGGCCCGGCAAAAGCCAAAGCTACGTTAGGGCGGACTCCCAATCATTTGACCTTGAGGTAAGGCCACTTATCCCAACTATGATTAATTAAATCACCAAAAGTTAAGGCGATAAACAGGATGAAAATTTTACTTACTTTTGTACGATGACACTTCAGTAGTGCCCGATACGCCCTGTCATATGCACGACATAAGTAAAACCATTTTGAGTCCCTTATTTTAACTGAACTAAACACGAGGGCCACTTGAAAAGTTTCCGACCTAAAAATGATACATTTTTTCTGTTTTTTTATTGTTCTACATAGTCTCCTATTTCTCTAGTCCCCAGCGTTTTTCTTCACAAAATAATTGTTCTCGAAGGTAATTGCCTTCTCATTTGGCGAAAATTTTTGTCCTCCAAGCGCAGTTTTCAGATGAGGGAACAAAAAGAAGTCCCTTAAGGTTAGATCTGGTGAGTCAGGCGAACAGTCAAGCAGTTCAAACCGTAATTCGTGGATTAGTGCCCTGGCAACCGTTAGGGTTTGAGATCACGTTGTCTTGGTGAAACATTATTTCTTTTCTTTGCACATGTGGCCGTTTTTCCATAATTTATGTCCTCAGCATGCAAAAGAATGAAACTTCTGTGCAAATGATACTGCATTTGTGTTTTCTTAAAAATATCCTTCTTAGTCAAGAGCTAGAAGAGGCTGACTTGACTTTGTTTCACAACTGACTGTGTCGAAATAAATTCAGTTAATGTAAATAAGATTGTATAAAATAGAAACATAAACCAAGAGATGATATAAATATATATTTCAATAATGTTATACTAAAAGGAATCAGTGAATATAAATATCTTGGCTTAGTAATAACGGATAATTTAAGTTGTATCGCACATATAAACGGCATTGAAGAAAAGATTGTCCCAATAGTACGGCAATAAGAAGATGTGCAAAATACTTGAGCAACTTCAAACTACTCTTGTAAAACTGTATTATTCCACTACCTTTACATTACTTGATTCCCTGATAGGGAAATGCTCCGATATATTTAATGACAAAATTTAATGAACAAAAAACAAAGCTGTTAAAAACTGTTTTTCTTCTGAATTTTTATACCAACGGAAAAAGTACAACCAGAAACCAGTTTCCATGCGTACAATGCACGAAGCTGCAATCGCCTACGAAGCCCCTTTAGCAGAACCGCAAAAACGCAAAAATCTCATTTTATATACATAAATAATTTGATTTGTTGATTTTGGTGTCATAATTCCTTTCCAGCACCACATCAACTTTGTCGGCTGGCAGTACCGGTAGCCAAGCTCGACTAATTCAATCGTCTCATCCTCCGGAGAAATTCTATCCGATCCAAACCGAAGACCTAGGTAAGCATTCAAAGGAACCGCGAAACCATCAGCATGCTAATGCCCACCCAGCGTCCCCGAACGCGAAGGCTTCCGCGATAAAAAAAGTTTCTCTCGATCAAAAAGACGTCAAGGTTCCTGTCAGTATAATGAAAAAAACGCCTCCCAAAGAGTTCTCGAGTCAGTCAGAGAGAGTAAGCCCCAATCATTTGTCTCCTGCGTGTAGTCCTAAAACCTCACGTAGCGTTAGTCCCAGAAGAAGCTCCAGGCCTAGGCGGGTCAACAAAAAAATCTCCAAAAACGGAAACGACTCTGCGAAACGCGTGTCTAGGTCTATGAGCATTGAGAATCCCACTTGTGTCGAATGCTACTTATCCGGAAAATCAGACATAGTGGTGTTGAGTGATTTTGGTTAAACTATTGTACCCGTTTAAAACCGAATATAATCAAAATGTTAAGTTAAAAATAAATGTGTTAAAACACACAATGCTCGACTTATTAATTCCTCAGAGCGATTAAATTCAACTCTAGTTTGTCTTAATTTTAAAACTAAAACCTAAACCAAATAAATATCTGCTCCTAAATGCTTCAGGATTTGTCTCCTTACTGATTTAGTGCTGGCAGTCTTGATCTCAACTACTGGTAGTCAAAAAGAAACTTAGGCTTTAGAAATAGAGACAAAATATGTCGCGAGCTTAGTTTTGGTTAGTTTTGTCCATAATTAAAGCGAAATGTAGTTACTCTCTCCTCATTTTCAATTTGGTAACTGATATTTTCTAGCTACATGCAACATGAGATATTACAACAATAAATATAAAACTATGAGGTTAATTACTTGCTTACCTTATGCGTCCGCTTCAGACTCGTCATTGGTAACCTTGGGATTTAAAATAATAGTGCTCTACTGTTGGCTTCTGTCTTGACCTCCTATGGAATTCTCTTCTCTCTTCAATTTTTTTAGTGTAGACAGTAGATATTCTTGTTGATAGCGAATGGGTGTGTCTAGTTGGAAAATGTAGACCTCACTAAGGTGAACTTTTAGGGAGGAAGCCTGCTTTCTACCATACACAAGGCTGTGCCAGTTGCCACAGTTCTCATTGATTGTCTCGTTGTGTCTGCTCGATTTTGGAACTTTAAACATTTAATTACTCTCTCTGAAACAGTACTTTAAGCTCCGGGAGATTTTTGAGGCAATTTGTAGCGAACCCCTTTCAATTACTCACCATTTGCACTCCTGAGATGGCAGCCCATCACTTCACCCGGTATTCCCTTTTTTAAATGTGTCCTTGCACTTGGTGTTGACGTTTGAATGTGTTTAAGCATTGTCGGATGTAAAAAAAAAACTAACCAAAACTAACCGCACTGTGTTGTTATAGGATCGCCCGTTTGGAAGCCGAGGGATAGTACATTTGAGCAGACCTCAACGTCGCTACCGCGCAAGAATCGCTCAGAACAAAACGCTTTAAGCGCATCGCGCAAGTCTCTTGTCGAAACAACCAGCGCAGGTCTGGAAATGCATAACTCTTATGCTCATCATTAGGACTCGTCGTACACACACACATACATACATACACACACAACAAACACAGACACATACACACACTATTAATAATTATTATCGACTGTAATTTTAAATTAATGGCGTCAGCACTTTTTCCGTTGTTTTTAGCCCCAAGAGTTTATTATTCCGTGAGAATTTCGTGACGTTTGTGAGTTTATAGGGAATCTAATGCTTATATATCGAAATATTATTTGGAATTACGTTTCTATATAACTAGAGGTTTAATTGAAAATAAAAATTAATGTATAACTTAGCAGTTTAGGCTTGTAGCACCTCCTCTAACAATCATCGAGCATAATATTCCCTAAAAAACGTTAAGGTGTATTTATCCTGACGATTGTGCCGCGATATGGCCCCATATGCGAAGACATGTTTACACGTATAAGAGCAAAATATCAACACATTGCCTCTGTGCACGATGAAACAGCCTAAATTTTCTTTCAGGATTAATTTATTGCCAATAAAAGTCAAATAAAATGCAGACAATATATCAAACACAAATATAATTTTTCAAATTGGTCAGTGATTTGGAACTTTCTTGAAGTCCCTTTCCATTTGATCGCTTTTTTTTTAATACGCATGGTGTCAAAGTGAAATTTTTAGAATGCAAACTTATTAATAACTCCGGTGTATATCTCTTTGAAATTGATTTATCTTCTGTGTCTCATCTTACTACAGTTTCCTTGTGTTTTTTTTTAAATATCAACGAAACAATGGAAAAACTTGGGTATATTATCCTTTGGTGATCTCTCTCTTACGAACGCCTTACTATCGAGGGAATTCTTTTTAGTTTTTTTAATGGATTGTCTAACTTTTTTGTTAGATATTTCAATTCCAATTGGATGTTTAGACAATTATCAGATTAACTGAAGGAAATAACGCTTTTTTTGTAAATTTTATTTCAATTTAGAGGTACTACATATAAGTTATTTTTTGAAAAAGCTTAAATGCAATAAAATATAATATAATAATAATATAATAAAATATAAGTCACAGTTATTCTAATTAAATGAAATAATTAGAAAATGTAAAATTTTGTATCTTATGAAAGAAGGAATTTAACTGGAAAATAACATAAATATTATAGGGTAAATATATTCAAGCATTTACTCCAGGCAAACAAGAGACGTTTATTATACGTCGAAGTCACTTTGTCACAATGACGTCAATAAAACGTCTTATTAGGAACGTTCTTTTTGGTCATGTTTGCAAAACATTTGCCTGCGGAAATATTATCTTTTGCCCTTGTTTGCCAAACTCTAAGCTAACCAACACCAAAAAAACATGTTTTTTTTAGAAACATAAATACAGATAGGGTAGATTGCTAGTAAAAATTTCGTAATTTTTGATAGTTAGTTTGGTAATCCAGTTTCGACGTTTCTTCGCAGTCATAACGACCACATCGAAGTTTCGTAACAAAAAAGGCGTTAGGAAAACATGAGGTGGCGTATCTGGTTCTCTGGGATCTTTTTGTAGTACCCAATATATTTTTCGATTATCAAAATTTACGTGTCCAGTGGTATATGTGAGAGGAATAAATATACAAAATAAACAATTACGAATCTAGAAGACTCCGCAAATTGGTTAATCTGTTAGTGACGTTACAGAAAGGAGACTTGATATACAGGGTGTGATATATGTGATTCCTCATTTCATTTTGTGAAAAAAGTTCCCATAAATATAGGATCGGAAATGCATCCTTTACACATACTTTCTTAATTAATTCAAATGTCTCCTCACGGATTTATTTGAAATAGACAGGCATTGTATCTAAATATGGACTGACGAACTCGGTCAAAACAACCGCGTCGTTTCTCATTGAGTTGCTCCCAGCAATAATTCCATTTTTTTGATTCAGTACCGCAGTAAATCAATGCCTTAAATTTTTATCAATAAATTTAGTAAATTGGTCCTCCAAAATGCCCACCAAACTTCAAACAAATCCGTGCGAAGATATTTGAATTAATTTAAAAAACACTTTTCCAAACAAAGCTTTATCAATGCATTTCCGGAACCACATTATTAAATATGGCCGAATCTTTTTAAACACCCTGTGTATATTGACGTCATTGTCCTTTCCCGGCGATCTTGGAAGCTGCAATCACTAGGACCGGATGTTATTTCAGGACATTGTCTAAACGGACTACATCAAAATGAAAGTCCATCACCTAATAGCCAACTCAATGCTTAATTTTTGAAAAGAAAAAAAATTTTGCTAAGCGTTTGCCACAAGTTAATTATAAGCCAGAGGTAATTTTTTGATGTTTGCCCAAAACCATTTAGGTAATTCTTCAAAAAGTCAAACCTATTAGGAATATTGTGATTTGATGGTCCCTTCACTTTTTTTTCGAATGTCACACGTATACGTAACATTGTTGCCTCGATTCCACTACATTGTTGCCGGTAAAGCTACGAAGGACGGGCGGCGGACAATAAATGTAATGAAAATAATGACATTTCGATCCACCCGACCTTAAATTAATAGATAATAACACAATTCATTTCGATTTAACGATCAGTTTTTTTTAATAAGTAACAATTAATATAATCCTTGACCTCCCCCATCCAAGTGCAGCGCGTACGTGCGTAGGTGCGTAAATAAACACAACGACGGGCGACATGGGTGGATATACAAGGTACATATCAAAACGCACGAGAACAAATTAATAATTGTTAGGCAAGGCGTACCTAAGATGCCCAGTTGCTACATTTTTTAAGAATTACCTACCCCGTACAAGCTTGATTTTCCCACCGAAGTGGTCCGATCTTTTACATGATTTTCCATGTTTTGTTACTTTCATTAAAGTTTTAATGTTATCTACACTTTTCGTTTCGATCCTTTTCTACGCGTTCCCTGTTAAACCGCAAAAATGGGGTCAATGAGAGAATCCTGATGGCATAAAAAAATAAAAAGGTAAGTATGATCATTTACCAAAAATAACAATGGCTGAATTCAGAACTATCGAAAAGTTTTCTGAGGAACTGACCTGTTTATTAAAAATAAAGTATACATTCTAAATTGCTAGCAAAACAAAGACTTCGAATCACTCTATCAGAAATCAAACATCTTTCTTTCTACCATGGTTAGATCTACTGAGAGATATCCATAACCTATCTCAAAAAAAAATGTAAAATAATAAATCCTCTTTAGGTATGCCAAGGAACTACAGGCAACCCAGAATACTTAAGGCACTTCCATTGGTTTGAAAGGCGTCCCCTGGATACTCGTAAAAGGGAAAAACAATATGCTGACAGAATTAAACTTGTGCATTATTGTACATAGTATTAGGCATAGTCCGTCACACAATAAACGGTTAACGTTTTTAGTAGCAAGAAAATCAAATCAATATATTAATACGTTTTGTTTTGTTTGGTACCGTTTATATTTGGAAGGAAAGATATTTTTTACCCAATTTTCAAAAAAATCATGCTTTTATGCACTGATGGTAGTCTAATGAACAGTCTGTAATGTTTTTTGCTGAAAGTCGCAAAGCGTTTGGTACCCAACCTTCCCTCGAGCCACATCATAAAATGGATATTCTTCTTCCTCTAGATGCACGTACATTCAGAATGCTGTTGTCGCGGGTGTCGAACCAAGTATCGTCTAAGTAATATATATTTCACTATTCTATCCGATGTTGATGAATATTTTTGTCTCCATTTTGATCAAGTCCGATTTTGTTCAGAAAAATTGGCAATGTTTCATAACTGCCAGTAAATCGAAGAAATTTCTTTAAATTTCTGTTGCGATGATTCAAGTAACGGAATCTTGGGGGTCATATGTTGTTTCTAAGCGATGTAAATAAGGTTGAAAACATTGAAAAAATTGAACTAAGCGATCCCTACCTTTTAGAATACCTATCATATGGAGAGGGTCAACAAATCACCATGCTGACTGCTGTTTCTGCGTGCGAAATGTTCGGATGGTGGATATAATACTAAAAAAATTCATCCGATCTTCAAGTCAACAATTAGATCAGTGCCATGGCCAAGATGTCCGTAATACCTGCGAGTCCTGCCATTTAAGAAGAAGATACAACCGGTTTTCCTGACTCTGACATAAACGAAAATACCTGTAGTGATGTTGGTGATATATGGAGTGTTTCTCGGCAGTCACAGTTATTTTAGGTTAGGAGAGGCTTAGGTTTACCTATTGAAATCTAATTTTGCCTACCAGTAAATCGACTATTTTCTTTTAATTTTTATTGCGATGATCCAAGTAACGGAATGTGATTACTCTCATAATCTCATTTCCCTGCACACCACCATTCCAAAATACTTTCATTATGCTTTTGTTACATCATTCCGTTCTTTCTAGTGAATCACTATCAAGGAATGGACTCAAGGTTGACTTTGGAATGCCAATTGACTCCACTGTCTTCCTGATAACAGCTTCTTATTTGTTTAAGCGAACTTCAAATTTTGCATTCAAAAAATGAAAAAATAAGAATTAGTTTAAAAAATATTATAGTAAATATGACACTCTCTTTTTGGTTCGTTACTTTCCTCCATTCTACAGTCGAAATGTTCTTCAACCCACGGTTAAAACACGACAAATAGGGACTGTAAACAACTCTAATGTCTGCGCCAAGGAAGGCTGCGTTCAAGCTTCTGCGTCCATTTTTTTTTCGATTTTCTACTGTGTGTGTAAGTGACCAAAATTTGACGCTATCGACAAATTTGGCAGGAAAATCCCCTAGCGATTGGAGGGTTGGGAAGTATTTGAAAAAAATTAAAAACTGGATTTGCAAGGGTCTAAGGAAAAGAACATTTCTCGAAAACTGTTTATGGAACACGTAGAAGATTTGGCTGCATAACGTTTTATTGTTGCAAATTTTTCAAAAATGTACATTGGAATTTAAAATTAAATTAAATTTAACATTTAAATATTTAAAATTGGCGATAACTAAAGGATTGTATTTCAGATATCAGTTTCTTTTACATGACAATAAAGCTCGCATACACAAGTCTTTTGTATTTAAGGTGTTCGCCAATTGTACAGGGTGTTTGCGATATTCCGTGCAATAATAAAAAAGGTAATAGGTGCCCCAAATTTGGAGCTACCGACTTTAGATTTGGCAGAGAAGTAGAATTTTAGACCCCCATTTAAACTATTAGAGTCGAGCGCAATTAAGTACCTCAAAGTATTTTTTAAAAATTTTGATTCTTTTTTGGTTACTTTGGCTTCCAGAAAACATATTTTTCTCCATAACCATTCACTTGATCGGCAAAATTCTTTATCTGACAGACGCGGAGGATCCAGTTATTTGAAGAATTTTTTCGATTATATACAGAGTTTTTATTATAGGCAAATATCTAAAAGACTTTGAAAATTGTTCTTTTCCAGAGATATTATTAACCGCAAATCAAAAATCGTAAAAAATGTGGCTAATCCGTTCAAACAGCATCAAGAACTACAATTTTTGTATTTATGGTTTTCGTGTAGCACATACGCTGTTCGAAACATTTGAAAAAAATCAAAATGAAAATCACCATTGCTCGCGTTCAGTCTAGACGTGATGAGGTCATTTACTATTACGACGTACTGCATGGCTTCAGAAAACAAGTATTTTTTCGAAAACCGTTTACTCTATTGGAAAAATGTATATTCCAGAAGACGTGGGAGATCCAGGGATATCACCTCTACTTTGTACATTGTTTGAATTATATATAGGGTGTGTCGTTTATGGGCAAAAAATCTAAAAGATCCTTAAAATTAGCCGTTTTCGTTGGTGAATTATTAACCCTAAATGAAAAACCATGAAACATGGGATAATTCGATTATAAATTGTGTCGAGAGAGAGTTTCAGTTTTCAAATATTACTCGAATTCGAAAATTATTTGTACAAATTTGTACAGTGACTATTTTTCGAAATCAATCTTGTTTAACTTCGCCTGCGTATAAGCAGTGACAGATAAGAATACCAGGCAGTTTCAGTTAAGCTTTGAAGAACCAATGAGGATAATTTGTGAATCGTTAGCAAGTTCGATTCACCAACAACCGACGCAAGAGTAATCCAGAAGATTTGTAAAGGTTCAATTATTTTAAAAAAATTTAAAATTTATTTTTGCCCAAAATTTGTTACATTTTTTTCTCAGACATAAAAATCTACATAATCTACATATTTTTCAAATGTTCCTGAAGATATTTTGTCAAAACTGCATTTCACTAAAATAGTCTTCAAAAATATCCGAATTTATTAACTTATCTTCTCATGATAATCTGTAAGGAAACATTCTTTTAGAAATCCCTTTTCGCTTTCAATATTTTCCTGAAGACACCTTGCTTGTTGACAGGTCTTCATTAAAAGCTTAGCAAGCACTATTTATGTTTATTTATGTCTACTAATGTTTGGATTGTCAATCTAGGCAACATTATGAATAATCCTTGGATCCTCAGTGATTTTTATACATGCAAAATGGATGTAATCCTTAGACAGTAATTTGAGAAGCTGCATGCCCATTTTATGTTTCCTTAAAATTAGATGTACGCTCTTGCAACACTCAAGTATGTCTCTGCTGCTGCAGTCGAACTTGTGGATAAACTTGAAAATAATCCAGAATATTTACCTCATTTTCTTCATTTTGAACCATAGATTTCTGGTGAATTCGATATGTTTTTATGCTTTTGGGTTGCCATTAACCGAGCTTCAATTCATGCAAATTTTCCAGGAGTTACTGCTGGTAGATTCAAACATCTTCATTAAACATTAGTCTCGCCAAATCAGCATTTGAATATTCAATATTTTCCGTTTTTAGAGGTACAAAATTAATAGACCTTCGAACAGATATTTTTTTCATATAAAAATCAACACCATTGTTATTCTTCGTCCAATTTAAAGATTACTAAATCACATTTTTAAATTGCAGTCAGCACCCTTGGGTGAATAATGCTGATGAAGCAGTACGTTAAAGCATCAAAGATGGATCAGGTTTGGATGGATCATACGTGGAAAATTTTACGCTCTCTCATATGAAAAATTAATGGAAGACATTTTTGTAGGTTCTTAAATAAGGAATGTGGACACCATGATCGAATCTGAATAGGTTGCATGGATTTTATTTACTCATGTTTTGAAAGGTTTTCTAGGAAACAACAAATATCCAAACGACAAAGATATTGTAGAAAACGCAGATATCAATTTCGATGGAAAGTTGCAAATGGCCATGGGATATTCAAGAAAAACCACTAAACGAAGCTTTTTCGGCCAAGAGGCTAATAATAAATATTCTTAACTATTGTGCGGGCCTTTGTTATTTAACTTAGATATTTCAATTCGGTTTTGGTTCTTGTGCTAATAAAAATAATGTTTGAATCAACCGAGATTTTCATTTATTAATCCATTTTATGCCGATGAAAAACCTTACATGATGACAGATTTAAATTGAGGCGGCCTAAATTATACAGAATCAAATGTCAGATCGAAATCAACTTCCAAAAAAAATTTTGGCCATTGTTATTGGTTCAGACAGAAAACAAAAGAAAAAAACATTTTTTTAATATTTCCATGCGCTCTCGAACATATTTCAACAAAAAAACAATTCAAAATAAGCAAAACTAAACTAAACTAACCAAAACTAACGAAAACAGAAATCTTCATAGTCAACTTTGAGTTATCAATTATCAAAACTTCCCAAGCTCAAGCCAAGTGCAAAATTAAAAACCGCCCCATAATGCTCAAATATTCTGTGCAATAAATAATATTCTGTTCTTTTATAACACTAAAATCATCAACCCGTCATTGAAGACTACTACTACTACGACCAATAAAAATCAAATATGGCTATAAGTTGTTTATTATTATTTGTACTATTAAAAATAATCCAGAAAAATTAGACAGACAACGTCGGATTTAAGTGGCGGACGTATTTGAGTAGGTTTTCGTTTTCCTCGCATACCCATGGCTTCACGTGGTGACAGGCGACATCGTGCCAATGGACCCCGTCGTTGTAGAATTGATTTAAAATGGCCAGGCAGTTCTCTTCGGCGCCTAGAAGAAGAACGATACCATATTTTTAAAGGAATGTGTGCTTCCATTTTACGTAGATATTTTCGTCAATTAGAAAAAAAGATAAAAATGACAGCTACATTAAAGAACGCCATGTTAATCAGGTTTGCTTTTCAGGAAATATTAAACACTTTTGCAACTTTTATCACTTTTCTCGGTGTCTTAGAGCAAAATTGTTCTTTCTTGGTGATTTTGGTTAGTTAGTTAATTACTTATCGTTTCACAAGTTGCCAAAAAGGTTTTTATAAAAAGCTTCGTAAAAGCTAAAAAACCAAAAGTAATTGAAAAACGAATTGAAAACTATGCTCTGTTCCTAAAGTTTTAATAGAGAACTTGTTATCAGTAAAATGATCTTTAATTTTTTTGTATTATTTCAATTATCGTTCAACTACATACAGGGTGGTCAAATAAAGTGATATTTTTTTAAACTTTTGTATACTCTTTTTTTAAGTTCTGATGTTTGTTAAGGGTACCCAGAGGGGCAGGTAGGCAGACAAGTAGTTGAGATGCCTCAATTGTTTATTATAGGCTTCAAGAATATCTGCTTTTTGTTGCAGCCGTATATATTTTCAACTTAAATAATAATGATATTGCTTGACTAAAATCACATTTGTCAAACTCTTAATTATAACGTCAAACAATTATAAACACTTATTTGGTAACTACAGCCTACTAGGTTAAAAGGCAAGTTTCATAATAATATTTTTTACTATTAATGAAAGCTTTATTTAAATATGCAAAATCTTTATAAATTGTCCCATCATTCATTGAAAAAATAATCAAAATTAAATAAAATATAAGACAGATATCCCATTATAAAATTCTTTGAAATAATTAGGTGTCCGTATTTGTCACCGAGTTTATTCATAAAAATGTAGAAAACCATTAGATTCAGGAGGTATATATACCAAATTATAGGAAATTTGACCCGCTTTAAGAATAAATATCAAAAACATTATAAAAAAATGAATACTACAAGTTGAGATTATAAAAAAATGTAGTAGTAGTTGCAGATCGTTAGAAGGAAGTCTTCTAAAAATATTTTGACCTACACAAAATTCGAATAAGTAGTTTCTTTAAAAGTTACATTTATTTTTGGCAAGGATTCTAAAAATATCAAAATAACATGGCATCATGACCTACCGGAATAAAAGACTATTATGAAGTTAAATGTTGATGTTTTTAAAGACAATTTCCAGCAAATGCAAGATCTTATTCATCCTCGGGCTGTCATACGGATAATGAAGAATGATAATGCATAATCAAGAAAATTCGGGAAAATACCCACTTCTTGTAAAAAATAACATCGTTTATTAGTTTACTTTAAATAAGAAGAAACTTCAGAAAGATATGCTAAAAAAGAGCTACCCTTTGTAAGAAATTTGTCGACGCTTCAAAACGAAATATAACCGTACTTCGCCTTCAGCCATATCACTTTCAACTAAACCCCATGGAATTGGTATGGACGCAATTAAAATGGTGTCCAGTCCACTTTTAGAATAAAGTAAGTTGTAAGCTATTTACAAGATGGGACAAAGTTTGTGTTTGACATAGAACAAAGAATGTGAGACGCTGATAACGAACTAGAAAACACTGTGGAGCCGACAACTATAATTCGCCTATGGAGACTAAAATTGACAAATTTAAAATTTGGCAAATAGACTTGTATTCTAAATCGAAGATTTTTTTTTTAATAAAAGCAGCATTTATTAAAATTTCTCTATTTTAAAATTTTTCTTACTTCTCTGCAAATTCTTATTCAGTTGATTTTAGAATAATTAATACTACAATTATTTACCTGTAGTAATGTCGCTGTCACATTACTTTCATTCCCTAAACTCGTCTTCCTTAATTTACAAACAATTTAAGGCGTGTAGTTCGGAATTTATCAGAAATTACCATTCGTCTGAACTTTCTCAGATAACCTTTAAGTTGTCTACCCTGATTAATGATCCTCGTCATTGCAAATTAACATTTTTTTACTCTCTCGCATTAAGAAATGAAAAATTTACTAGGCTGTCTTGATTTAGGTTTCCTACCAACTGCACAATATTTATTAGGTACTTCAAGATTTTATAAGGTTTTTGCGGAGTAACCTATAAAACCCCAAGATGAAAAGTAAAAAATTTATTAAGGTTTTTAAGAACGCTATAAAGCATTAAAAAAACTGAAGCAACCAATGTCAAACGATTTATAGATAAAGTAACTAAAACTTTTTTGATGCAATATTATAAAACTTTTAAGTATTTTATTATTAGAAAGCTATTTAAACTGTCATAATAGCTGTAACTTTTTTTGCAAATCAACATCAAGTCAGGGTTTACACTATCAGAGGATTGGAGAACAGCGTTGCCGGTTAATAAGCACTTACGGACTTCAATTTTTGTTTCGATTACGAAACGTTCAACTTACCGCCTTGTTGTGCTTCCCGGTTGTCGGGTTGAGGTTGTCCAAGACCACCGCTTTCGGACCAATCGTTCTGATCTCTTTGAGTAGTGGGTGCCAATTTTTGAAGGACCGCGGTCCAGAACCAGCCGTTGATGTTCACGGGCTGAAGGTCAGGGCGTTCGCAACCAGCGAAATCACATTTTCTTCCCGATGTCCAGATATACTTCACCTGGAATATCCGCAAAATAATCACCACGGCTTTAGACGAGATTTTTGGCTAGATTCCTTCTTTTGGTGTGGTTCTATATAAAAAAAACTGACCTGGTCGTCAACGATTCGCTTCTTAACCCATTCGTTTTCGGCGCTGGTCTCGAGAGAGACGAGGTCCATGCACCGTTTCCTACAGTAATTTCTTCCGGCCAGCCAGTTATCTTCTACGCCTTTGGTAGAGGCATCCCTCCAACTGAAGAAGTATCCCTTACCTGAAACGCATACAGTTGTCAAATGTATTCAGTAATAATAAAAATATACATTTACTAATCCCAAATAAAAAAACAGTTTAACAAATGAAGAAAGGTAAATTTTAGTCGGTGTTATTTTATGGGCTTCATAGAGTCCAATTAGAGCGCTTCGCTTCCGCTCGTGCCAAATAAATATTATATACTAATTAATATCAAAGTTTTATATTTTTTAGTTGGAAGTCTCATACATAATTTTAAAAATAGGAAGGCTTTTTTACGGCAATTTCAAAAAATATGTAAACTTTGCTTTCAAGATTCAAGTAAAAATGAATCAAAATTGAAATCGCCACTTAGTTGGTTATGCTTCATCATTACCTCACTCCAACGCCACTTTTGTTTACCTGTGATAGTTTTGCATATTCGATAAAAAAATAATGGTTTGGAAATATTGTCGTTGAATATAGCAAATTATAGAAATGCAAATAGGGCCAGGCGCGAATATTTCGAAATACACAGAAAAGGTAAGAGCACAACGAACAAGATTACATTCAAGCGTATTTATGCAACATTTCAATGAAATAAAGCTATGGAGAGAAAAACTAGGCGGTGGTTTTTTTATGTCATGATAAAGGACTAAATATTGTACTATGTTATTTAGGTTGCTTTTCAAAAAGCTCTTTTATTGATTGATGAAATTAAAATCGATTTAAATTAAACTTACTAGTTAACATTAAATAAGGAAGGTGTTTGTAAAAAATTGGAGAAAAATAAGATCCAGCAATCAACATGTTGCAAATGTTGGAAAACGATTCACGGTTTAATTAAAGAACCACAATATTAACCATTTGCGTCCTGACTGCAGGATAACTGAAGCCTTAAATAAATAAAAACCGAGCATCAACTGTGTTTTTAGGAAAATGGAGGACATTTCCAACATTTAGCGCAATATTCATAATATTTAAATTAATTAATAATTAATTATTAAATTAATTCATAACTAATAATTAAATTAATTCATAATTAATAATTAAATTAATTCATAATTAATAATTAAATTAATTCATAATTAATAATTAAATTAATTCATAATTAAATAATTTCATAATTAATTATTAAATTAATTTCTAATGAAATTAATGAAATAAATATTATTTCTAACTGTGTGTCAATTGAAAACATAGTTTTATGCATTTCTGAATCCAAAATATGCCACAACTGTCACACACGCTGCCATGACGCTAAGTTAGATTCTGTTTTTAGCTAACTCTGTGGCCTTAATGCAAAACATGTTATATATTTTTGAAAATAGCGTAATAAGACCCTTCTTTATAAGAAATCAAACTAAATAACATATATGGTCTTTATATACATATATGACAAACTTTGTTCTGATACAATAAAAATATTTTTTTTATCAAACACTGTAGTACTATTTTGATAGATATTTTATTCAAGTAATGTGAGTCACTCTTTCCTTTGTAAGTAAGTTCTTGCTAAGGACTATTCACGAATCCTTTGCAGTGTTAATAGAAAAAATAATAATAAAGTTTTTTCATATTTCGATATGTGTTTAAATCTAATAATAATATTGAATGAAAAGTTTTCTTCGGGTTTGAATTTGAAGTAATGTTTCTGCTAAAAAATAATCGATATAATTTTGCAATATTCACAGACTATTTGCAACCTGGCACCATGGCAAAACTTATTGCCTGCCACATAGCTGTCATTATAATGTCATATCAATAACACTCTGTATAACACATAAACGTTAGCCTCCTAGAAATGCAATTCGGATGCTGCCGAGGTCGGCAAAGGTATCTAGCACTGGTTTCCTAATTTTGTTAAAAGGAGACGACACTCAAATTTAATATTTAAAAAAACAGAAAAACAGCATTGTCAGACCATTTCTAAACAATCTCTGAATACTCAAAATTTCAAAATATGTTGAAAACAAGTAATCTATTTTTTGAAATAGCTTTTAAATGATTGACAGAATCGACAAAAATTAAATATTTTTTATATATGTAAAAGACTTTTTGTGTAGTCCATTGTAACAGAAATTAAATCACTTTGTTGTTATAGACGACAACGGCGTGTTTTAAAAATAGACTCGCGACAATTTTGCACTTATGCAAACAACGCAAAAAAAAACAAATATACCGAAACCGGAACTCAAAAATTTCGATAAATAATTGGTGGCCTTCATCTACATCTCAAAATACTGAGATACGGTAAAGGTAGAATCAATTAACATTGCGGTGCTTATAACATCGTTACAAAAATAAATACCAGCCTGAAAAATGGGTAATTTAGTCACCTACACTGCCTAAACCAAATTTCGGGTTTGGGAATATTTCATATTATTGCACCTCTTAGGTTTATAAATGAGTTTAGTAATAAAAAGTATTTCCAACCCTGTAAGATCTGACTATCACATACCGTCTGGTGTTCTTTCGTGGATTGTCCTCTGAGCACAAAGCTCAGGTACTGGCGATTCTAATATACCTCTGCTCGGCGATTGCGCAGACGCAATACCAACCAGCATGATACCAACTAGGTAGGCTAGCATTTTAAGGTCCTCTCTGAAACACGTCGTTTAGTATTAAAAACGTCGAAAACTTAATAATAATAATAAATATATCTTTGTGGCAAATCTACAAAATTTCATTTTGCATTTTTTAGATGGCAGACATCTAGCACTGTTCAAGTATGAATTTAAACTTAATAAAATATTATTAAGAGCAAGAGAAAATTAATTTTAAAAGCATAACTTAATATAACTATAACCTCAGCGTTTATATCCATAACTGTAAAATTAGTATAATTTTTCAAGGGAAAACTTCTGGATTCCTCCTGCGTCGGTTTTTGCTTAGTCGAAATTGCCGACGTTTCGCCAATCATCCTGTTGGCTTCTTCAGTTTCAGTTTCAGTCAAGCTCTGAAGAAGCCAACTGGATGCTGGCGAAACGTCAGCAATTTCGACTAAGCAAAAACCGACGCAGGAGGAATCCAAAAGTTTTGTAAAAAAATGTAAAATTAGTAATTAGTAAAATTAGCACACAAAGTATACTTTTTATAAACAGAAAACTGATCATTTACTGAGATTCGCCATGATTCTTTTTACACCGACAATGTTAAATCAAAAAAGATGTTTTAGAAGTCTATTTCTTTTCGATGTTCTGGAATTCTCAATGCAAAGCATTCCTTAAAATTCACTACTCAGATCAGTGGAAAAAGTGATTTTGTTGAAGAGATATTTTGGAAGTTCGTAATTAATTAATTTGAAATAATATGTAGCGCGGTGTATCTAGAATCTATGTAGAATCTGTTGGACACATATATAAGCCAACCTCACATAGCCAAGTATGGAACCGCATAAATAATCCGCGGGATATTGGTCAGCAAATTAAACAATATTTTTTCTTGTATCAATTGGTATATATGACCAATGTAATTTACATTTATTTAACTGAAGTTTCTAGAAATTACTCTTCGGTCCAGCTGTTTAGGGAATCGAAATGTTTTACGGTAAGCCAGTTTCTTTTTAAAACAGCGGTTATAAACAATTTTAAAAACGAAACAGGCCAAATAGGCCAAAGATCTTATACATTTTTACAGGTTTATTTTTCTAATTTTCTTGATGATGATTTGAGCAGAGATTCATAATGTTAACATCACTAAGTGCTTTTAAAAATCATCTCGAAGCAATAAATGAAGCATATATAAAAATATATATGAGAGTCAACAACAAAAAAATAAAATCCAAAATAACAAGATTTACATCTAAGATTTGTTTGTTTTAGATTTTTATAACATATTTAGATTAGATATTGTATTTTATATAAATTATGTACAAATTTCTGTAAACATCTATTAGCTTCATTAATCACTTTCTGTAATAGGTGCCAGGGTAAACTTATGAAAATGTGATTCTGCACAAATTAATAAACAATTTAATAATATTGTTATTGTTATTCTATATGGCTATACTCTCAATTTATTTGTAGTATGACCTTTAAGCCGGAGAGTCCAAGAGCAAATCTAAATCTTTAATATAATATTGTTATAATCATTTTATTTTCCGCATTGCGAACTTTCAGTTCATTTGCTCGTACTGACTTGTTGGAGTAGCGTCCAAAATATTTAACGATTTAGCTGAAGCAATACGAATTTCTTATGGAGATTAGGATCCTTGTTTGTTTTGGTTAGTTTTTTAATGCAGAGGTAAAATAAGGCAACGAAATAGCAAAGACAAATTTTGCAGATCTGTTCGGTAACCAATTTTTTTGTACAGATATTGTACATTACACATTTTTTCCATTTAAAGCCAATTTGCTTATCTTTTAATTTAAAAGAAGCGGGAATACACTTTCTGATATTGTGTAGGTACGTTTTTTAAAATCTTTTATGATTGCTAAATGATATCTGCAAAGTTGAAATAACACAAATCGTTCATCTAAAATATCTACAATGGTATAATATTTTAAGATTAAGTCATTACAAAAGGTATAAAGCAGGATTTGCCTGTATTTATTGTCAGGTTTATGTCTATCACAACTTAGTGGCAGTTGATATATTATATTTGAGTGTCATCGGCGTACAAATGAAGAGAATCCAAGAAATTATAAATAAAATGTATTTACTGATCTGTTTATTTCTTCCTGTGAGTTTTTAATTGTTTTCGAATTGTTGATTTCAAAATTTTGCAAAAAAGTGCTTGTCCTAAAATAAGTTTTTTCCCACTAGGATTATTTTTCCGAGAAATAGTTTCGTGGAGGTGCCTAAATTAAGCGAGTCAAATATCACATGGCTATGTACCTACATGAAGCAGTTTGAAAGTTATATCGTTCTCACTGTCTTATCAGCCGATATAGTGGCAAAATACCTTAATAGCGATCCTTTATTTCTAAGGATTGTTGTGGGAGCATAAAGTGGCGACATTTTACTACCTGAACGAGTAGTTAATTGTATTCTTCTTAAAACACACGCTCATTGAAAAAATAATTATTTTCTGCGGGAAGAGGAATTCGCGTAGGTGTACGACACACGCAAAGAAAATTAACGGCTCTTAAATGAAAAGCAGGAATGTCGGCGGATATCTTTTTGATGTCTGATTTTCCCAATCGAATGACATTATTGTCTTCGAACAATGGAGCCTTACATATTCATGACAACCCAGAAAAATTGTGCTATAAACCTCTTAAACTAATGGAAAATAAAATAAAATTGTTTCGACTACTAAGTGGAAACGTCTGTTTTATTCGCAGATGATTCTTAGCGCTACTTTCTGATTTACCGCTTAGGTGTCTGTTAAAGTGAAAATCTTGTTTCTAGATCTTGAAAATTATCAAACTTTTACTAGAAACACAAAATTTCAAATTTTTAACTGTAAAATTATGAATACATATAGGTACAGATGGACTAAAAAAACAATGCTTGGCAAGGAAGTCAAAAATTTATGCTTCTATCAACGCTCTATTATGCCTTTATTTTATTCAAACTTAACTTTGATGGTACAAAGGCACAAAACCAATATTCAAATTTTCTCTCTCCCAACATAAATGGCGATTATGACTCTTTTTCGAAAACAAGATAACACCGTCCCTCCGGGGTAAAAGAGCTATTACAGGCGTAATCTTTTTATACAGATTATTTCTCGGTTTGATGGATAGACCACAGTTTTTATGAATACACTTGCATCATCACCAAACTTTTTTTTTATCCCATTCAGATTAAGAAACTCAACGCAAAATTGTGCTTTATTGAAAGTGGTCAGACTTTATAACGAACACTTTGACAATATAGATATTTATTTAAATCTAAATCGTATTAAAATGCAAATGAAATTAATTTTAAAAGGGAAGACAATCCATATTGAAAGTGCAGAAGAATTTTTGAAATGAATGAATATGAAAGATACGAATACGCATCATGAACTCGGATCATTTTGAAGACCATTTTACTTTTTAGTACGAGTTATAGATAACGAACGTTTCATCATTAAGAAATAGTGATAAGTAGAGAAGACTTTTTCCTCCTACCCGTCCTTCCTCTAACCAAAATATTGACTTCGGTGATAATTTGATAAAGAAGCAAATAAGCAAAGCACAAACACCACAGTAAGTCATTGAAAATGAAAAGACATAGTGTAAACTGTGCTGCGATATTATTGCGAATTAAATGCTCTATAACTTACGCTTAAGTTACATTACTTTTAATGCAAAGTTGTTAAAGCAATTTGTCAAAGCATTTTGTTTACTATGGAGCTGAGAAGTATTTGGTGTACTTGATATTTTCAGGTTATCATTTACAAGTTCTATTTCTTTTTTTACGAATAAACTACAACTACAACTACCAATTTTTAAGTTTTTGAATTTTCAAGTACCTTGCTTGCTTCATTGTGGAGGTGATGGGATTTTGATTGTATTGCGCGTTAAATGGTGAAGATTTTCCAATTAAGGGTAGGAATGGGATTGTTATTCAGGTTTGGCTAGGGGAAACAGTTAGGACAGAATATAAAACGAATGATTACGGCCCAAAATACTGTAATGCCTTGTGCCAAGTAAAGACTTTTAAAATCGGCCTTTACATTAAAAACAAATAGCTATAACAAAATGAGTAGCCCTCCGAATCATAAGTAAAAGTAGCTTATATTTCTAAAATGACAATAATAAATGCATGTTTTAAGAGTGGAAAAACTATTGAATTTGTCGAAAGAACTTGTGAACAAAAAGATATGGGGAGAGACTGCCGGCATCGAAAGAAGAGGTACACAAGAAAGCAAAAGAAATTATTGATGAGTTAAACTTGTTGAGTAATAATAACTTTAAGGTGCTGTCTTGTATCGTTAGTTTAAAAAATAGTATGTATCTTATAATGGAGAATGTAATGAGGAGTTTAGAATTGGATACGGTAAAAACGTAAAATTTGTTTACATAGACATTTTTGTTAGTGACTATAAAATGCTGTAAAAATTATAGTATTTATACGCTGTACCTACGTTTGAGCAGAGAAGCAAGCGCCTTTTAGGTCACTTAACTTTTGTGAACAATCATTTCACAAGTATGGAGATCTTTTTAAGATATTTAAAATGAAAACAGCGCTCTAGAAAATTGTAAGAAAAAGGAAAATAGAGAAGCAAAGGCATTATCGAGATAAGCACTAGAACATATTATTGCTTTAGGGTCTTTTATGTTTAATAGATATAAAATTTTAATAACATTGGTACAGTATAGCATTAATATCCACCCATTCGTGTATGCGTTTTATTTACTTATGTTTATTGGATTAATTTTTAAATTGTGACAAAAAATAATTATAATATGAATTATAATATGCATGAAATTAGTATAAATACATCTATTTTAAGTACAATAATAAAAATAATCAAACTAAAGGATCACAGTCATAAGTTCTCCAATAACAACAATATTGACCGATTTAGTTAAATTTCCGATTGGCTCAGCACCGTGAAAAACTAATGTACGTTATCCCAAGTAAAAGAATTTGCAGCAAGACAGAAAACGATATACAAAATGGAAGTCCTCAAGCTACTACCTGATCAGGACATTGGAAACAGAAATAAATGTAAAATCTAGCCCACTTGATCGATCAGACTCTTATTTACAAATTTAATTCCTGAAAAACGTACTTTATGTATAATTTTTAAATTTTGTATTCCTATTTTTACTGTTTTATTCAAAGGCAAACAACGAAAGTGGCTTAAGTAGGTTCAATCTGTTCCCTACGAACTTTTATTATTATAACGTGTGTCTCCTAGGCGTGTTAAATTCTTGGAAAAACCGAAGTGAAATTTTAGGCTTTACATCCTCCGGTAACTAACGAGAATGGGAAGATGAGAAAGTGATTACTATATGGCATTTCTGCACGTAGAAATTTTCATACGACAAATACGGCTAAATTGTTTTTACGAATTTCATTGTTAATTGTCTTTATCGACTGCTTCTTCGCCATAGCCGCCCATTCATTTTTGAAGCAATTAGATTTCTCTAAGCACGAGTTCGTGATGGTAATTGAGATTTCACAGTAAAATGTAGTTATTCAAGCAATTTCTTTGGACATTTAAGACATTCAAACTTAGATGACACCGACCTCTGCACTGCATGTCTAAAAATTTCTAACTTCACTTAAGTCCCGATTAAATTTTGAAAAAATGTCACTAGTAAAACAAGTGTGTGTTTTTCTTTATTTAAAACTTATTGTTGAATAAAGGTCTTCCTATGAATGAATATTAAAAATGTTTATAGCTCTTTTGCAATCGAGTTATTGTTCAAATTAGTGTCAATAAATTTTGATAAATGTTAAATACGAATAAGTTATTTTCTTCTATTCCTTTACTTATATTGACGTTAGTCATTCATCGTAAATATATATTAACTCAACATTAAAGTCAGTCATTAAATTCGCATAAAAATGCAGTAAACAAATGCTAACTCTTAAACAATCAAATTGCTGTTCACTCTATGGCTCTTGTTTAAGAAAATAAAGTACAGACTTTCCCGGTACATCCAGGTTTTCCTCGCAATTTATGCTTTTATTTTTTTAAAATAATGGTAATTTGTAGATATGAATATTACAGCTAAGTAAAGAAAAACCCTCTTTTTCGAGACGGTTTGCAGCTTTTTCCAAAACATTAAGCTTTTAAGTTTTATAGTAAAATACATGGAACTTGATGAGAACTTTTGCGAGACTAGTTTAACATGACTTTTTTAATAAATAAAAAATTGCGTTTAGATTCTTTTTAAGTCTTCTTAAATTTTCAAGTCTTTTTCAGTCTCGATACACGACTGGATAAAATATAATCCAAGCAAATTGAGGATATATTATAAAAATATGTTGTATATAATGCATTAAAGTAAAAAAAAATATTTAAAAAACGAATAATAAATGCATTCAGACAGCTCTTTTGGAGGCCAAGATGTAATTTTTTTTGAAAAATTATCACAAATGTTCAAAAAAAAAAGTTCAAAGCATCGAGTATTTTTTTTAATAACAATGATGATATAATATATAAATGTGTTATATGTTGAATTAAAATAAAAAAAGCAAAACAATCAGCGTTGATAATAGAAAAATACTAAATTCATTCAGACACTATTTAAATAATTTAAATAAAATTTACTTTGCTTGAAAAGATAAGAAGTAATTTTAAACATATATCTGCATACCTTAACAACGTGCTGCCAAAATCTGCTTTCTACCACAGCTAAAGACGTCTTAAGCACGACTGATTAAAATTTGTTGTGCCTCACCTACGAGGTGTTGAAAACAAAACCGACGGACTTGACCAACGATGCCCGTTTAAAAGCAAAAGGTGGGGGGTCAATGCACATTAAAAGACGATTTCATGAACATTTATAGTGTCCCCTTCATAACCTTGACCTCGTCGATATTTCCATATACAGAGTAACGTAATGACAGGATCAATTAAAATCCTAGACAGGTAGAAAACGCTACCGTCTTGGGACCGAATCGTGGAATTTCAAATTGCACCAACAATAGCGATAACGAAGACATTGGCGTTTATGGAATTTCGTATATTATTGGCAATGGTCACTTCGAATTTTTCGCCCCCTCACTTATTAGTTGCCGTTATTGCTATCTACCTGGTACCGAGAAGATTGTCTGAGAACGACTAATTGTCTCGTTTACAATACCTTCCTTCTAAAGCTCTGTTCAAATTAAAAAAAAAAAGTTTTTTTTTGGCAAGAATTTGTTCGTCAAGAATTTCAAATAACATTTTTTTTTCAATTCAAAACCATCCAACATGTCGAAAATAACAAAAAGAAGTAACTACTCAAAATTTAATAACTTCACATAAATAAAATTAGCATTAAAAACAAAAATTTTCAATTATTTACATTTTTCTTTGTCGATAGAACGATCCTATTGTTTTTTTAATTTTTTGATATCACTGTATTATGTACTTAAGATAATACATGTTATTTTTGTTTCATTTGAAAAAAAAAACTAACTTAAAAACCACCATATCGAATGTGAAATATCTGGAAACGGATCAACAGATTTACATCCAATTGTACGGACATTGATAGTGCTCTATCCCTCCAAGTATGCAGTGTTGTCGCTTCTATATAAAAATGGCAAAATCTGCTTACTTTAAATGCCACGCCTATATAAAATTTCGTTGTTAGGTTCTTCCCAAAAAATAAAACAGATTTTTTCCAGTATTTGCTATGACGTCCTACCTAATTTCATAAATGTTTAAGCAATTTGGCCTCTTGATAAGTCTTAGTATATTTAGATAGATTGCGAATTTAGATGGAACATATAGGATAGGTCAAAAAAAATAACACATTCTTTCATTTTCAAATTCTCGGCTAGAAAATAACTCAATTTTGTTCAAGTTCCCCTATACCTATCTCTTACCGACTTTAAAATGATAATTGAACATTGAACACCGTGTGAAATAAATGGCTCTAAAGATTATTCTATTTTTTGCCATTTTACGTTTGGCAAATCAAAATTAACCTATTTGCACGCGAAAGGATTTATGGAATTTTGCATATTATGGCTCCCCTCATTTATTGGTTTGCCGTTATTGCTTCCTACCTGAAGCGATACTAAGAAGCATGTCTGAGAATGACTAATCGCCTCGTTTTGATACCTTATCACTAAAGTTTTTACCAAACTTTAGTAAATTTCATGCCCATTTTATATACTTCTAAACAAAATAAAAATAAAACCCCGAAGTTTGAAAAAAAGGGTTGCTTTTTGTCTCTAGTGTTTCATTCGTCAAGACTAAGAATTTGGGAAACGCAATTCAATTTTTAAATACAAAAAAAACTGCTCAATATTTAATATCTTTCCACAAAATTAGATAATACTGTATATAATAATAATACAAAATAAAAAAGCGTACAACGGAGAAAGCTTACATTTTTTAACGTTATTCTTTATCGACGACGTTTATTTGAATCATTTATTTCAACTCAACCTCTCCAAGTATGCAGTGTTGCCACTTTTATGTAAAAGTGGCAAAATCTGTTTACTTAAATAATTGGATTTTTATATTCTATTTAAGAAATAAAATACACTGTGTGTTCAGCTCAGTTCAGTCAGCTATAGCTGTGCCTCTCCTTCATTGAAATAAAAATTAAAAAATTAAAAGGTTTTTACGCAATTTGGTAATAGTTGGATTGGTAATAGTTGAATTTGGTAATAGTTGAATTTACTGGGTCTACTAAAGTGGATAGGCAATAACATTTTATGCAAAATACAAATGAAAACCTTAAATGTCTAAAATAATTAAGATGAAAAATTTCAAAAATGTATAGTTTGTCATTATTTGGTTAATCCGTTTTTGAGCTTATTATTCAAAAGTAGAACATAATAATCAACATCAACATTGCTTTGGAATAAGAAGTGTTGGGTATATATTTAAGTCCAAAAGTAACTTAAGATTGCAAATTTTCAACTTAATCTCCATCATTTGCTCTGCAGCTGAACAAGTTGTTTTCTTAACTTAATTGTGATTGCTCTCACAACAAATCAGAATAGTTTTGTTAAGTATAAGTAATTAGTTTTCAACTCTTTTTCTTCAAATATTTATAGTTTCTGGTTCATCGTCACCCATATTATTTTTTAAGCAACTCCATAAGAATAGGTCAAGGGGATTTAAATCAGGGCTATAAGGCGGCTATCTAAGTCCCATGGATGGGTTACTCAATTGAATTTTTACCGCTCTTGTTAATTTTTTGCTGTTGAACATCCCTGCAATAGTGAAGGTCGCTTTACTATTGCAGTAACAAATAATTTTCCTCAAAAAACGATTCCAATGATTTTACGATAATGTTAAAGTTGCTGCATCTTATAAGCGTTTAATGTTCTATTGGCAAAAATTGGTAGAGGTGAAAATGGTGTTTTTTAATAATTTATGGCGTATGCAATTGAAATAAATTAAAACTTTGTTCTGTTACTCTTGAAATCAAATTTACTATCAAAATAACGCAGTTTAATTCTTACAACTGAATTCCAAACATAGTTGTTGTTGTCTCATCAAACAAACCAACTTTATCCTATTTCTTGGTCTGGAAAAAGTTAGCTATTCCATGTTTTTGATCTTCCGAATAACCCAATTATAAAAGCGTCGTGTTTCTAGGAAGTATAATAACTCGTCGTGACACTATTAATGTCTGTTAGGGAGCCATGAAAACTTATAAATAATGTTTTCCAAGGAAATGTTGATGTTGATTATTAAATTCTACTTTTGAATACTAAACTCGAGTTATTTCGAAAACGGCTAAAAAAAATATCATATTATATATTATTGAAATGGGATTAAGAAGGGTTTTCATCTAGAAATAGAAATACACAGACTGCAGTTGTTTTTATTGACACGTTCAGAAGATAACAGAGAAAAAATCATACCAGTTTTGTATAAAAACTGTGTGCGAAAATATAAATGAAAATACTGTACTTCGTTTTTATTTCATATTGTTTTTAAAAGAAAAACTAACTTCAACTTAAAAACTACCTCATGCATAAATATACAACTAAAATTTGAAGACTTTTCTAGAAAATTGTTTTCTAGGAATATTTTATGTATAGCCAAAGCTTGAAGTTTTTGCGATATTAACGGTTTTCTGTACAAAAATATCATTTTTGTCAGTTTCACACTGTTCCTGTTTGGCAAATCAAAATTCACGAGGCTTTTTAATTCTTATTAACCTATTTGTAGTCGGCACGGCGCAAGAATTACAATGTGGTAAGATTTACAATATTCAGGTCGTATTCCGGTGAATCATCTGTTGTTGTTTATGTTGTTAAATTTACGAAAAAAGACAATTAAATAATAGTATTTAAACTTATACCCTGTAACGAAATAATTTGCTCCCAAATCAGTTAAATGAAAAACAAAAACAACATACCCAACGAATGGAAATTTTGTGTTCCTAACCATAACGTAATTTTTGACACTTTTGTTCTTTTAAATAATTCCTACATTACTCGCTTAAAATGTAAAAAAATATTTTCTTCAACACAAGTATTTCTGAGATAAAAGACATCGCATAGTTAATTACTGGCGGCGCCATTATTAAATTTCGCAGAAGTGTTTTGACCATACGGGTGCGCAGTTTTCGCAGCGAAAGTTGAAATCCATTACTCCAAAATAATTATCTCGCCGTTAAACAATGCTTAAAAGTTTTCCATTGAGCAATTATCGATGTATTACGAAAACCTTTGCAATAATCGCCCAACGGCCTTCATAATTAATATTGCCAGTTTGCAAAGAGAACACGAAAAACTGCGATCACACCGCATCCCCGGAAAATAGTTTTGGTTAGTTTTAAAATGGGGATTTCTGTAATTTAAATACCCCGGCGCATTCGCCTTAAATTGAAAAACTTTTAACGCTGTAAACGTTTCTTTTTATTTTTTGAAGAACAGAAATTGCAAGAAATTTTAAACGTCGACTTAAATATTGCCCGACAGTAATGCAAGAAACACAAATTAAATTATTAAAAAAAAATCAAAAAAATTTGGATTAAGAGCAAATTTGATAAGCAGTGTATAATATTTCGCTTAAACTGGCACATACGGGCACGTGTGTGCGCCCACCGCTCGCCTGGCTGGTCCAACGTTGGCTACGAATTCAATTTCAATACGCGCCCTCAATCATGCATGGTGTAGAGAGAGAGCGGGGGGCGTAAGGGAGATCGTACGATAAAGGGGGAAGGAGAGGAAGAATGTATGGCAGGTGTCGGTGACCAGGATTGGATCAAACAAATTTCAGTTTTGCTCTCATCCCAGGACGGTGGCATATGAAGCAAGGATAACGAGCCCAGCCGCTGTTACATAATGGCTACTAATCAACCATTTTTATTGCCTATTTCAACTATAATAATAATAATAAAAACAAACAAAAAATAGTTGCCAAAGTCTTTCTTAAGATGCTTACCCCTCAACGATCATGCAAAACCCTTCTCGGTTTTGGTTAATTTTGGCTACGAAAAATTCACCAGGATGTGCAGCCTTGCTGCGATTTCTAATATTTATTAACCCCCTTTCTCTGGTCATTTTTCTTAGGAACTCTGCGTTGGTGGTATGTGAGGTCCGTGACATTTTTAATAATAGTGTTAGGCTTGCTGGCTTTGTATATGGCAATACGAAATTAACTTAAGCAGTTTTAAATTGAGGCCTTAATTATAGCGTAGTTTCTTTCATTTCTTCAGTTATGAAGCAGCCAGGGTACTTAGAATTTCTAACTTGTTCAATAGCTCTATCTTACGGGAGTATGTTTGCACGTATGTTCGGCCTTTTACTCACAACCATTACCTTAGTTTTGTCGATTA